GTCTGACTTTGTTGGCAGGTCTTAATAAGGGCTTCCGTCTAGCTGCTCTGCAACGATAACCCAATCTGTGGAGAATCTGTTGAACAGATTTCGGGCTCATCCCACCAGCTTTGGCCACTTCTCCATTCATTAATCTGGGATCCATTTCGATGCTCCTCTGAACAGCACTTTTTTGTCCTCTCCGATGGACGAGGACACTGCTCAGTTATTTCCTTGCCGTGTTTCCTGAACTGCATGATGATTCTGTTGACTCTTGAAAGCGGGATTCCCAAATTCTGCTAAATTTGCCGCTGACTTATTCCACCACCTGCTTGACCAACTATACTTCCTCTAACAAAATCTGACAATTCGAGAGAACCTTGAGTTCTAGGCATATTGTAGCACAAGATAATTAGTGTGCGGATCATTTTCATTTATATAGTGCTCTGTGAACACAAGTTAGTTAGCATAAATCAGTTAAATGACAAAAAATTAGGTGTGTATTTACTTGTGACCACTCAGTGTATATTTGAGTTTTATCTTTATTCTTGTTTCTTTATCTTTAAAAATTCAGTATAATTTGCAACTTATTTTTATTTTATTTTATTTTAAATACTCGATTTTTTGGGTATTTTGTGAGTGTTATTGTTTTCAAGGATTTAATATTTTGTAGGTTTTGTCACATTCTGATTATTTCATAGATGTTATTAAAGGTGTACTATATTTCATTGTAATATTGTGTCAAAGGACCTATTCTAATACTTGTGTATTTTTCATTCAGTTCATTTTATTCTCTATTTCAGTAAAGGGTTTTAATTAGCATGATTATATGTTGCATTTCTTTAAGTTTTATTTTTAAATGCAAATATTTTTTCTTCTAGTTTTCTTTTTGTATTTTTGTATGTCATTAAGGAAGGATTGTTTTAATGTGCATTAAGGTGTACAGTTTTTGAACTGTAAGTTGTTTTTCTTCACTACTTTCTATTCACAATTCACTGCATATATCGTATTTAATTTCCACTTTCTTTTACATAAATCTGACCTTTACTATGTAATACTACGGTGTGGCCACTTCAAGAAGTTGTCTTAAAAATCTCAAGCTAAGTTATTGCTTAAAGTTAGATTTAAGAAATATATGAAAAGGTTGTCAAAAATTAGCAACAGGTGTGATCTTACTACTTACCCTTCTGGCAGTTTAATGCCAGGCCATATTGTAAATAGGTTGTATATACACACAATGTAGTAAGTTTTAAGTTATGTGTGTGTTCAGTCGTAAGTTGCACAGATATAGTAAAAATGCTGATAATCAAATTAGAAGTTCTAGTAAGTGTCTGGCTATATTTAAGTATTTAATTAAAAGATATCAAAGGTCTTGTAGTAAGCTGGGAGTCAAAAATGTTGAAATTATTAAATGAAAATTAGTCAGGAAGTAACACAAACTAAGAATTACAAAGCTTATGCTCTGTTTCTGTAGAATCTGGAATCGTGATTGTGGTAAGAAAGATTACCTCTTTTTAATTATTAGGAGAAACTGAACATTTTATGAACATATATTTAATAATGTTTTTTTCTATCATAAAGGTTTATAGCTTGCAAATGTAAAAGAAACACTAATTTGTTAATGATGAACCTAATGCCACCTTTAAACCTTGTCATGTCTCTGCAACTTTTGTCCTTGGATATGATCTACTTACTGTTAGCAATAAATATGAACACTGTTACACCAATTAAATGAAACTACATTTTACTTATGATTATTCAAAAATTTAATTTTCTCAATAAACAGGCAGCTCGCTTGTATGAAAAGTTCTCAAAATTTCTCACAACACATTACACATTTTTTTAATTTTTTACCTTGTGATTAAATAACAGTTTATTAATGCACTACTACTAAGAGTAATTTGAAATATGACAACTAATAAGCTACATTAAAACTCATTTACACTAATAACTAAGAACATACAGAAGTTTGATTATATTTTACACCAATGTTGACAACTTAGATAAATACAACTAGATGCATGATAGAAAAATGAGATGTGCTTTTAGATGTTAAATTAAAAGCAAAATATTACATGTATTAGAAGGTGCTCATGTTTCAAATTTCAAAACAACAACATACAATGGATGTAACTGAACTATTTATATGCAGATGAGTAATATTCTTCTTCAAGTTCATACAGTTCAGAAGCCACATCATCCCTTAACAAACAAAGTCTACTGTCACACTCATTTTGCATATTTTTGTCAAATCGGGTATTCTGGCTAATTGCTTCATTGATGGATGGAAAATCATTGAGAACAAGATACTGCTTAATGTCTGAGATAAGTTTCATCAGACACTCTCCAGCTCGAACCTAAATAAGTAAAATACAATGGAGTTTTTAAATGTGTCCTCGTTTTCTGATGCTTTTAACTTGTATAATATTAGTATTAACCCTATGGATGTAGCTGAGTCAAAGAGCACATTTCATGACCTTCTAGATTTACATTCAAAGTTTAGTTAAAGAACTTTATTATCACTGTATGTCATTCATAACATAGTTTACAATTCATATTTTTATATTATCTAAGTTTTAGGTTTTAATTTCAGATGAAAATATTTCAAAAATTCCCAATCTTAACTTATCTGCATCACGAGATGTAGCTGTACTCTGAATTTTGTTTTTACATTTTATATCTTCAGTAATACGGCTTACAGAGGGCCAAACCAATTAGGAACATAAAACTATATAACCCAATTCTGAAAAGGTTACTGCTTATGTAGATGAGGATAAAGGTGTAGATTTGGTGTATCTGGATTTTTAGAAAGCATCTGACAAGGTGCCACATAAAAGGCTTGTAAAAACTTTATTTCTATAGGTGTGGGGGATAAGTTAGCAAATTGGATAGAAGAGTGACTGGATGGAAGAAAGCAGAG